AAGACGGCTCGGAAGCTTCAATTGGTCCAACGCTCGGCAGCCATGATACTAACCGGGGTGACACCCAGGGAGCATACAACCCCTCTGTTGCGCCAGCTCCATTGGCTACCAATTTGCTACCGGAGCCGAATTCAAAGTGCTGGCTTTGGCCTATAAAGCCCTAAACGGTTCTGGCCCAAGTTACCTATCCAATCGCATCTCTGCCTATGAACCCACTAGGACTTTGAGATCTTCCAGGGAGACCCTGCTCTCGATCCCGCCTGCTTCTCAAGCTCGGCTGGCGGGGACGAGAGATAGGGCCTTCTCCGTGGTGGCTCCTCGGCTGTGGAACACCCTTCCTACGGACATTAGACTAGCACCATCTCTAATGGTATTCCGCAAAAAAGTGAAGACCTGGCTGTTTGAGCAGGCGTTCCAATAATTAGTGCAATGATTGGTTAATGAACACTGGAATGGAACAATGGACGACGAATCTGGACTACGCTTGGATGATGAGAAGATTGGGTACGGTTGTTTTTTGTAATAATTGTGCATTGTAATTGCTTATTGGTAATTATGGATAATGTGTTAAGTCAATTGTTATATGTTGTATGGAACCACTGCTGTTTCTACTGTTTTTACTGTTTGTGAACCGCTGTGAGTCGCCTTCGGGCTTGAGATACAGCGGTATATAAGCAAAGTAAATAAATAAATAATAAATATATTGCACTACACCATTATATTGAAATATTATTAGTGATATTGCATGTAATATACAATGAATGTCAAGTCAACACATACTGATGTCAGTCATACTGATGCAATAGATCTAATAAGAGCCCCCGGTGGTGCAGTGGGTTAAACCCCTGTGCCGGCAGGACTGAAGACCGACAGGTCACAGGTTCAAATTCGGGGAGAGGCGGATGAGCTCTTTCTATCAGCTCTAGTTCCTCATGCGGGGACATGAGAGAAGCCTCCCACAAGGATGATAAAAGATCAAATCATCCGGGCGTCCCCTGTGCAACGTCCTTGCAGACGGCCAATTCTCTCACACCAGAAGCGACTTGCAGTTTCTCAAGTTGCTCCTGACACGACCAAAAAAATAGATCTAATAGATTTACTGCAGTTAGAACTAGCAATTGGATGCAAGCCAGACACTGCAAATTGTGCTGAATTGTTTCAGGTCCCAGAACAACAATTGTCTCCTTTTTATCTGGCTCACTATTACAAATAAGTCACATATTGATAACCATGATAATGTTGATATTAACAGCCCATCTGTCCATGCAAACGGAAGAGCCTTTTCTGGACAGAAAGAATCAACTGTGTTATAATTTCACCACTTGCTTCCCTGGACGTAATTTCCGTTCACTAGAGGAGACCAGATGGGTAGCCACTTAGGATCCTAATTGAATGCCTGACTGTCGCTTCCCAGAGCACCTCAAAACTTAATTTCAATTCTCCGGTTGCCGTAACTAGTCCTACATCCGACTAAATCCAGGTATTTTGCCTGAATGATTCATAAATCGACCTGGAGACTTCTCAAAGAGAAAAAGTTTATTTTTAGAGGCATATGTTGCCAAAAGGTCATGCAATTTAGAATTTCTCAGCGCCTGGGAGTTTTTCCCCCCTCCCTGTCAGAAGCCTGCAATCTGAAAGGCAATTTTAATAAGTAGTGATGTTGAAATTAGACACTGAACAATTCAAATGACCTTTTAGAAGAGAGAATACATCATTTTGCCAATCTCCGAAAGGTGCAAAGGATGATGTATTCGTTCAGGCAGTAAAGCGACACCTCGCTAAGTTGTTGTCTAGGCAACACATGCCCAGGTTTGCTTCTTGAGATGGCTCCATCTGGCTCTTCGGTAAGGATGTTGTGGAACCTCATCTGGATTTGCTCTTCCCTGACTGGCTTGACATCTGTGACTCTGGCATTCTGTCTTGGTCAGATGCTGACAAAAACAATGATCGGACGTCGTTGAGCAGGAAACTGGACCAGAGTCTGCTCCTGCTGGTCAAGCAAAAGCTTGGAGACCAGGAGATCTGGCTCTTGCCCCAAACAGAGTGGAAAGATGGGGAGACACTGCGAGCCACAGCAGAACGGGCCTTGCTTGCCCTCTCAGGTCAGTTAGATACACATCTGGGGTTTGTTTGGTGGGTACAAAATACTCTTCCTTTGGGTTTCTCCTGGCTTTAAGGCAGTCTGGTTTCAATTCAAGGGAAGTTCTAAATGTACATTGTAATCTTCAGAACTTTATTTATTTATTTATTTGGTTTACTTTTACCCCGCCCTTCTCACCCCGAAGGGGACTCAGGGCGGCTTACATATCCAAGGCACAATTCGATGCCCGTAACATACAACAATGATAAAAACACAATAGCGCAAAATAGCAAACAACAACAGTACATCATATCTATACCCAATAAAACCAATAAAACCCATAAAAATTTCATACAAACCGATACAAACCAATTACTCCTTATTGCCGGTCAATATTCGCTATCTCATAGTTCAGAGTTTCATTCCACAGTTATCAGTCCTGCCGGTCCTATTTGTCTGGTTGTCCTTACTTAGTTGGCAGATTGCCCGAAGGCCTGGTCCCACAACCATGTCTTTACCTTCCTCCTGAAGGACAGGAGTGATGTCGATGTCCTGATATCCGCCGGGAGTGAGTTCCACAGGTGAGGGGCCACCACTGAGAAGGCCCTGCTCCTCGTCCCCACCAGCCTCACTTGGGAAAGCGGTGGGGTCGAGAGCAGGGCCCCCTCAGATGATCTTAAATTCCGTGGTGGGACGTAGAGGGAGATACGTTCGGACAGATACGCTGGACCAGAACCGTACAGGGTTTTGTAGGTCAAAACCAGCACCTTGAATTGGGCTCGGAACTGAACCGGCAGCCAGTGGAGCTGACACAGCAGAGGGGTGGTATGCTCTCTGTATGTCGCTCCAGTGAGCAGCCTGGCTGCCGCTCGCTGGACCAGTTGAAGTTTCCGAACCGTCTTCAAGGGCAACCCCACGTAGAGTGCGTTGCAGTAGTCTATTCGGGATGTAACAAGAGCGTGGACCACTGTGGCCAGATCAGACTTCCCAAGGTACGGGCGCAACTGGTGCACAAGTTTTAATTGTGCAAAAGCTCTCCCGGCCACCGCTGAAACCTGTAGTTCCAGGCTCAGCGATGACTCCAGGATCACTCCCAAGCTGCAAACCTGAGTCTTCAGGGGAAGTGTAACCCCGTCCAGCACAGGCTTCAATGAACAGAGGCGGGGGAGGATCTATGATAATCACAAATAATGGCCGCATTTTTATGTAATAGTAAGTCAAGCAAAACGTGTGTCCACTTTATCATCATTATTATTGACACAAAAACACAGTATGTCACAGCAAATGAGATCTACATGTTGGATTTCATATAACAAAATCACAAGTCGAACACTTCCCAAGCATCTAGGACTGTGTGATGTATTTTCAAATGATGCGCACAGATTTATTTATTTATTTATTTAAAAGTTTTGTATACCGGCCTTCTCACCTCTCTTGAGGGACTCAGACCGGTTTCCAACCATAAAATCACATACAATCAATAAAACATCATAATACATATTACAGTAAAACATTAAAACAGCAATTACAATCAATAACTACAACGGACAGTCGTCACACTAAAATCGTTGCTCATCATCCTCCATCCATATCTCAGGGTGTTGGCTCACTCGTTGAATGCCTGTCTCCATAACCAAGTCTTCACCTGTTTCCTAAATGTCAGGATAGACGGGGCAGTTCTGATCTCCGTTGGGAGGGAGTTCCAGAGTCGAGGGGCCACCACCGAGAAGGCCCTGTCCCTCGTCCCCACCAGATGCACTTGCGAGGCCGGTGGGACCGAGAGCAGGGCCTCTCCAGACGATCTTAATAATCTTGATGGTTCACAGGGGAGAATACGTTCGGAGAGGTAAACAGGGCCGGAGTAAACAGGGCTGGATCCAAGTAAGGTGGCCTTTTGCAGTTGACAGATTGTGATTTTGTTGATGTTTATTCTTTCCAAATGTCGGCTGAGATCGTGTGGCACGGCACCCAGTACGCCCATGACCACTGGGACCACCTGTACTGGTTGATGCCAGAGCCTTTGCAGTTCGATTTTGAGGTCTTGATAGCGGCTGAGTTTTTCCTGTTGTTTTTCCTCAATGTGTCTGTCACCTGGAATGGCGACATCAATAATCCAGACTTTTTTTTTTATCATTATTATTATTATTACTATTATTTCCTATATCTATACTCTGCCCTATACTCTCCTGAGGGGAGACTCAGGACGACCTCACAAAAACCATACAGTTTCATAATAAACAATACATTAAAATATTTAAAATGTTAAAACAATAATAATAATAATAATAATAATAATAATAATTGAAGAGAAACAAGTGGAAAAGCTGACACGATATGACGATTTAAATATCGAATTGCAAAGACTCTGGCACAAAGCAGTAAAGGTGGTCCCCGTGTTGATCGGCACACTGGGTGCAGTGACTCAAGTCCTTGGCATGCACTTAAACACAATCACTGTATTGCCTGCTCTGATCTGGATGTTTCCTTTCCCCTTTCCTTCTCTTTGATTTCAAACTTCCAAGGAAGCCCCGCCGGAGCCAAGTTTCTCGGGAATGCCCCGTGCGGCGTTTACAAATACAAGTTTCCCAAGGCGGTGCGGATAGAGGGCAACGTAGGAGCCAAGGTGTTCTTCTTCAAAGCCTTCCTGCAGGACGGCCACCTGCCCTTGGAGAAGGAGAAAACGGACTATGTTTGGGTCAGCAAAGGGGAGCTGGCAGATTACTTGAAGCCTGAATACCACTCCCAGGTTACTCGCTTCTTAGTGGACCTATGATTATCTGGGCTGTGCCCCAGTGAGAAGAACACAGGACACAGTTTTGTATCGCAAAAGAGATTGCCGAGTGTGGCTTTTTTATGCATTTGTGGCAAAACCATGTCTGGAACCATGTCTGCTAAATAAAAGAGTCTAAAACATGACAAATCTGTCTTTTGCTTAAGCTGCATACATGATCTTGTCTTCTGCCAGGATCATCTCAACACACACACAACAGTAGAGAAGAAAGGGTTCGGTGTAATGCGGGAAACTTTGCAATCCTACCTTCTCAGCCACCTGAGTCTCGACTTCATCGAAGGGTGGTCTTTATATCAGTGGTTCTCAATGTTCCTAATGCCACGACCCCTTAAGAGAGTTCCTCATGTTGTGGTGACCCCTCAAACATAGAATTATTTTTGTTGCTTCTGTTGTCAGGATTATTGCGGTATGCATGTGTGTTTTTCAATGTGTTTCTTTGTAATTCAAGATGGATTAAGATGTGATTCAAGATGGATTCTATTTATTTATTTATTTATTTGCGACGTTTATATGCCTCCCTTCTCACCCCGAAGGGGACTCAGAGCGGCTTACAATATATATTTTCATACAGTATATTATATTATTAGCATAGTACAATATCAGTATATATTACTATATTGCACTATACTGTTATATTGTAATATTATTAGTAATGTTACATGTAATGTAAATATATAATTATAATTATAATATTGAATTATTATTACTAGTATATTGTATTACATTATAATATTATAAATATTATTGTTGTTCATTCGTTCAGTCGCCTCCGACTCTTCGTGACCTCATGGACCAGCCCACGCCAGAGCTCCCTGTCAGCCGTCACCACCCCCAGCTCCTTCAAGGTCAGTCCAGTCACTTCAAGGATGCCATCCATCCACCTTGCCCTTGGTCGGCCCCTCTTCCTTTATAAATAAATATTATATGTATAAATTATAATATAATTTATATAATATTATATAAATATTATATGTATATACAATATACTATATTATATTATTAGTAAAGACAAGATGTGTATTAGAAATACTGTGAGAAGCAGAGAGAAATGTAACTTTGACAGTAGTGAGATAACATGTTATCTGACAACTGTTATGAATCGTAATGTAAATATCTGATATGCAAGATGGATTTTCATTCACTGGACCAAATTCAGCTCTAATAATAATAATAATAATAATAATAATAATAATAATAATAATAATCTATATAAATAAAAATGTCATGTTRGTTTGTGGGATTAAGAGAACTCAAAAACCACAGGGGTAATTGACACCAAATTTGGACACAAGACACCTAACAACCCAATGTATGTCCTTCACTCATAAAAACACCGAAAAACAAAGCAGAAGGGACTTTAAAAGCCCCAAAAAGCTAAATGACGAAAAGCTACATGACAATACAGAAAAAGGGAAGAAAGAGGGAGGGAAGGGGAGAAAAAAAGGAAGGAAGGAAGAAAGGAAGAGGGAGGGAAAGAAAGAAAGAAAAAGAAAGAAAGAAAGAAAGAAAGGGAGAAGGAAGCATGGAAGCAAAGAGAGAAGGAAGGAAAGAAGGAAGGGAAGGAAAGAAGGAATGAAATAGAAAAGGAAGAAAGGAGAGAAAGAGGGAGGGAAAGAAAAAGTGAAGGAAGGAAAGTTAGAGAAGGAAGAAAGGAGAGAAGGAAGGAAAGGGAGCGAAGGAACGGGGGAAGATGTAGAGAAAGAGAGAAGGAAAGAGAAGGAAGAAAAGAGACAGCAGAAGAGAAAGAAAAGGGGAAGGAAGGAAGAGATAGAGAAGGAAGGAAGAAGAGAAGGAAAGATGGGAAGGAAGGAAAGAGGGAGTGAAGGAAGGAGGGAAAGAAGAGAAAGAGAGAAGGTTGGCCACAGCAAAGCGTGGCGGGTATAGCTGGTCTATATAAATAAAAATGTAATGTTTGTTTGTGGGATTAACAGAACTCAAAAACCACTGGAGGAATTGACATCAAATTGGGACACAAGACACCTACTAACCCAAGAAGTGACCATCACTCCAAAAAATTGATTTTGTCAATTGTGAGTTGTAGTTGCTAGGATTTATAGTTCACCTACAATCAAAGAGCATTCTGAACTCCACCAATGATGAAATTGGGCCAAACTTAGCACAAAGGACTCCTACGACCAACAGAAAACACCAGAAGGGTTTGGTTGGCATTGATCTTGAGTTTGGAAGTTGTAGTCCACCTACATCCAAAGAGCAGTTTGGACTCAAACAATGATGGATTTGGACCAAACTTGGCAAATATTCCATACGCCGAACTAGGAACACAGATGGAGTTTGGGGGAAATAGACCTTGACATTTGGGAGTTGCAGTTACCAGGATTTATAGTTCAACCTATAATGAAAGAGCACTATGAAGCCCATGAACGACACAATTGGGGCAAACTTCCCACACAGAACCATAGTGACCAACAGAAAATACTTAAGGCTATCCAGTCCTACTTCTTTCATCAGGGCAAGAAAACGTAATCAAAGCTCTCCTGACAAAGAGCCATCCAGCTATAGATATAGATATATGATTCACACACACACACATAGTATAGATTTTAAAGGGACCCCTAAAGAAGGGCAATTATGTTTTGCATGTTCCAAAGTAGGAAAATCAGACAATTTCCACATCAACACTGGCAAAGAAACAGCAAGAAATACTGTTTACCTACAAGCATCAAGACATGACATATATTAGAAACGAACACTTACTCGTTACTTTATTTTCCAGATCACCAGACTGGGCCTCAGCAACGTGTGGCAGGGGACGGCTAGTAAATAAATAAAATTTACTTTTATCTGTGTTTCATTGTTTCTAGGCATTGAATGTTTGTCTTTGTGTCTGTCCTGAGTCCCCTTGGGAAGATAGGGCGGAATACAAATAAAAGATTATTATTATTATTAGTAGTAGTAGCAGTAGCAGTAGTAGTAGTAAAGGTAAAGGTTTCCCCTTGACATTAAATATAGTTGTGTCTGAATCCAGGGAGTGGGGTGAGCTCCCGTCTGTCAGCTGTAGCTTCTCATTCGGCGACATGAGAGAACGTACCAAGTTTCTATGAAATTGTGACTTTTATTTCCTGTGCTGCTCTATGACCGAAATAAATGATTTGATTTGATTTGATTTGAGAGAACCCTCCCAGAGGATGGTAAAACTTCTGGGCATTCCTGAGCAACGTCCTTGCAGACGGCTGATTCTCTCACACCAGAAGCGACTTGCAGTTTCTCAATCGGTCCTGACACACACGAAAAAAGGACATCAGATTTTTAAAGGTGGCTACCATATCATCTCTTGATCTTCTCATCATTAGGCTTTTCATCAAAAATACTGGATAGAGCATGGAAAAGTCCTGCGTTTGGAGTACAGTTCCTAGGATGCCTTGGCCAAGAAAGCCAAGGGAGGGATTATCAGTGTTGTATCAAATCAAATCAAAACATTTATTTCGGTCATTGACCAGCACAGGAAATAGTGTCACATTTCCATACAAACCTGGCATGTTTGGTACATTAAAAATATAAATACAACTACTAAAAACACAATATGGGTGAGGGAGCAGAAGGGGGAACAGGGTAAAAACATACAATGCCCAGATCCATCACCAAATTGTAGATTCAGGGAAGAAGATTACTGGACACACAGTTGACTTTTGGAACTAGTCATTCCCTGGCGGATTTTGTATGCTGCTGCACAGAACTTTGCGACATTGTAGGTTGTAGCTGAATTAGTATCTGCAAGTAGCAGGGAGGTATAAAATTGTCCTGAATGGCCTGGGTGCTTGTCTATCAGAGGTAAGATAAGCCTGGCACGGGTATCCCTGTAGAACGGGCACTGAAGGAGCACATGTTCTATTGTTTCTACATGACCCGAGTCACAGGGGCAGCAGAGTCTCTCTGGGAAAGGGATCTTCCGGTAGCGGCCTTCGAGTACAGCTGATGGGAGAGCGTGGCATCGGGCCAGGGTGAAAGCCCTTCGATGAATAGGAACCTCTAAGTATGTTAAATATGCCATAGGGGAGGCAAGGTATCTGCTGTCTTCACTGATAAGGAAGGTTGGAGCCGAGGCCAGATCTAGTTGGCGCTCTGTGTCTGTGATACGTTGTTTAATAAGTGCTTTGGCTTGATTGTAATCCATAGCTAATAGTAGACCTGGAGAAAATCCCAACGAGGAGATTTTGGATGCTACCGCCTGCTTCCATGTGGATTGGAAGTCATCCTTCATGGTTAGTGGGGCAAGACCAAAGGGTGCACGGGATAGTCTGAGCCAGAGGTTGAGTATGGCCACCCACACCCTGGCCTCCACTCTCATAAAGCCCGTCTCTAGTCGCAGGGTGGCATTAGAAACACATTTAGAGCAGGACGCAGGGAGCATACAACGCCCTTGTTGTCCCAGCTCCACTGGCTGCCGATCTGCTACCGGGCCCAATTTAAGGTGCTGGTGTTATCCTACAAAGCCCTAAACGGTTCCGGCCCAAAATACCTTTCGGACCGCATCTCGGCCTATGAGCCCACGAGGGCCTTGAGATCGTCTGGGGAGGCCCTTCTCTCGATCCCGCCTGCCTCACAGGCACGTCTGGCGGGGACGAGAGAAAGGGCCTTCTCGGTGGTGGCCCCCCGGCTGTGGAACACCCTCCCTGTTGACATCAGACAGGCGCCCTCTCTTATGGCTTTCCGTAAGAGCCTAAAGACCTGGCTATGTGAGAAGGCATTTAACTGAGTGCTATATTAACTGGCAATGACAATTGGAACGAAATATGGACTATGAGATTGGTTATGATTCTATGTTGTGACGATGCGGATTAGTTTAGTGTAATTTAGATTAGTGTGTATTATTGTTACGTTGATTTTTTGTTGTGCTTTATTGTAAACTGTTTTTATATGTTGTACACCGCCGCGAGTCGCCCTAGGGCTGAGAGCGGCGGTCAACAAATGCAATAAATAAATAATAAATAAATAAATAAATAAATTTAGGTTCCTGCAAGGCCGATCTCAGAAACTTGGACTGAACCAGCTCTAATGGGGCAAAACTGGGGAAGGGGCCCAGCTGAGCACCATACAAGAGTTGGGCTAATGACTTGGCTTCAAACAGCTTGAGCGCTGCCGGTGTGAAGTGGCCCCTCGTTTCTTCTGCA